GACCTATTTTGTGTCTGGAATAAAGATATATTGATTGATTGATATGATTGAATATCAACAATTTGTGAATAGAGCAAAACACTTAGCACGCTATAGGTGAACATTGTTTAGTTTGGTTAAGAATACTTATTACACTATCAATAAATGACGTCTAATAGATGTTCTTAGTTGTCAGAGGAACACAGGAACACCTTCATGAGCTCAGAGGTTCTAACTGATGAATAATGAGGATGGCTGCTCTCTGCTAAAATATTTCTTGCCATCTTTCATGTTCTTTCAGCGAACAGTTGAGGCAGAGTTGTTTTTGGTTTCATCACTATGTACCTACTATTTTACCTGCCATTCAAAGTATTCTTAAAAGATTGTCTGTTAGTCTGCAGCTCATGTGACCAAACCAGCCGAGATTAAAAGTTAAAACTTGAGTTAAAATGTTGTTTTAACTTGAGATGAGTTAAAACTCAAGTTAGAATGTTAAGTTTTAACATTTAACTCAACAGCCTCTACCTAACCTAGAGGTTGTACACAACATCAAGTTGGGTAACCCCAAGGTAGAGTCTTTGAGAAGAGTTCTTGAAAATATAGTCAGTGTTTTCAGCAAAGTTGAGCTGACTGTCCAGGAATACTCGAGGTATTTAAAATTTGCCACAGTTTCAACAGGTTGGCCATCAAGTGAAACTGGAATCACTTTCAAGTCTTGCTTATGTCATTTAATTAGCTCTACTTCCTTAAGAAAATGAAAAGGTATGTTCTTTTGTGAGGGACTTTATCTTTTACTGTTCCAGTAATGCCAGAATTAATAGTAAATAATAAAGACGTTGTGTGGTATTCTGATTTAGTAATGTAATTATATTAGTTGTGTTACCACCCCCACGCCACTAGAGGCAGTCGCAAGTCCGAAAAGATGCGACTAAGGAGCAGATTTAGAAGTACACCGAAAGCTACAGAATTTGCTAAAAAAAAAAAAAACTGTGAGCTGCGCTGAAGTAAATAAAAGAAAGAAGTTCAAATACATTCTGAGATTGAAACTCCTTCCGAAAGGTGAAAATATATCACAGGTTTCAAAAGAAAATAAAAACGGAAGTATAAGAAATAGCACCCCCTTCACTTCCGGATTGCAATGGTCCTATTTCCAAATAAGCTATGAGACTGACAGTGGTCTGTCCCCGCCCATTTCTGTTTTCTGCAGCGAGGTGTACTTGTTTCTGTTTGCTAAGCAGTTAGATAAAGAAATAAAGCATTTAAATTGGTTAAAAGGTCTCGTAATTTTCAACATTTAATTGAATATAAAAAGTCACAAGCAAAAATCAGGAGAACAATAAGAAGCACAAAAAGACAATTCTGGAGAGGTTTCTGTGACACAATTGACAGTAGTACAAAATTAAGGGATGTTTGGGGGATGATCAAAAAATGGGAGGAGATAGAAGGGAATGGAGTTATCCTATACTAAATAAAAATTATATAGTAGCTGTAACTGATAGGGAAAAGGCTGATATGTTAGTAAGCACTTTTGTGGAGATTCATAATGGGGAAAATTTATCAGATAATGAAATTGAAGGAAGGGAGAGAAATAAAAAGGAAAATGATGGAATTTTAAGAAGAAAGGAGAATAATAATGATCTGATGAATTATCCTTTATTGGAGAGCTGAAAAGAGCTTTGGATAGAACTAGGAAAAGTGCTCCAGGTAAAGATGAGGTGTGTTATATTATGTGAGTGATGAAGTTTTAAATAAATTATTAATTTTGAACAATAAGATTTGGAAGTAGGGGAGACTGCCTTGTAAGTGGGAAGAAGCTATTGTTATTCCGTTGAAGAAACCTGGGAAAGATCATAGTAATCCTGGAAATTACAGACCGATTGCTTTAACATCTAATATGTGTAAATTGATGGAAAGGATGGTGAATGAGAGATTGATACAATATTTGGAATCAGAACATATAATTGCTCCTTATCAAAGTGGCTTCCATAGAGGGAGAGGAACAATAGATCCTGTTTTTTTGTTTAGAGGATGATATTAGAAAAGCTCAGATTAATAAGGAAACTGTTGTTGCTGTGTTTCTTGATGTGGAGAAAGCATATGATTTGTTATGGAGGGAAGGGTTAATGATTAAATTACATCAGATAGGTATAGGAGGTAATATGTTTAATTGGATATGGGATTTTTTATGTGATAGAAATATTCAAGTTAAAATAGGATATCATGTTTTGAAATTATGTAAAATAGAAAATGGAACCCCTCAAGGAAGTGTGGTAAGTCCAACATTATTTTCAGTTATGATTAACAACATGTTTAAAGAATTATCTATCAGTTTTGGTAAGTCACTTTTTGCTGATGATAGAGCATTATGGAAAAGGGGAAGAAATATGGAACATCTTATTGTTAAACTTCAGGAAGGTATAGATAAAGTGGGTAAGTGGGGGGTAAAGTGGGGCTTTACATTTTCAATTGAAAAGACAAAAGTAATGCTTTTTACAAATAAAAAAACTGGGGTTGATAAAAAGTTGTATTTATATGGGAAAGAGTTAGATAGGGTTGATTGTTTTTGGTTTTTGGGAGTAGTTTTTGATAAGAAACTAACTTGAGGAAATCACATAGAACATATTAATCACATACAACATATTATGGAGAAAAGTAAAAAGGTTCTAAACATTATGAGGTGTTTAGCAGGGTTGACATGGGGTGCAAGTTTTGATTCCCTAAAAATATTTATATGTCACTAATTAGATCAAGAATAGATTATGGGAGTGTGGTGTAAGGTTCAGCAGCTAAAACTAGGTTAAAAAAGTTAGATGTTATCCAAGCTAGAGCAATGAGAATTTGTTTAGGGGCAGTTAAATCAACGCCAATATGTGCTTTACAAGTAGAGTCAGGAGAAATGCCATTATGCATCAGAAGGCAGCAGCTAATGGTCAATTATCGGATAAGTTTAAAAGGACATAATGAAGATCACCCAGTTAAGAAAGCATTAGAAAAGTGTTAGGAAAGAGGAAAGAAACAAATTGATAGTTTTGGGTGGGTTGGGGATGATAGAGCGAAAATATTTAATGTTATAAAATATTTAGTCCAACTGTATTGTGGCCTTTGAGACCTACATGGACATGGAAATATATTAATGTAGACAGATCATTAACAAATATTAAGAAAAGAAATACAATAGATATTTGTCAAGAATTTTATAATCAAATGCAGAATAAATATAATAACTATTTGCAAATTTATACGGATGGTTCGAAAGACCCCCAAAATTAAGCAACCAGTATAGCTGTAGTGATTCCTGAAGTAAAGATTAGTATTTCAAAAATAACATCTAATTATTTGAGTGTATTCACAGTAGAACTATGTGCTATTTTATTAGCTTTAGAATGGGTGGAGGATACTAATATAAATAAAATAATAGTTTGTAGTGACTCACTATCTGCATTGTTGAGTATCGGAAAGAGACGTACAAATAAT